TGCTATTAAAATAGCGAAAGTGCACAAATCATGTTTTCTTCTGAAGTGTCCTCCGCTTCGGAACGTTTTCTAGCTCTGTCTGTACCGCAGATTGGTTTTTGGCACGACTCCAGACTTCAAGCGGCGATTTACTCACTTGACTCGAAAGCAAATCGGTTACTCGTTACTCGGCTCGGTCTTCACTCATTTATCATCTCAAGAGATACAATAAAAGCTCGAAAACGCATTTATTTTACTAAGTCAAAACAACTTCCTTTGAAACCCCACGATGGTTAATTGATATGTTTTACGGGACATCTTGCATGGATAAAAATCGCCATGAGATATAGGTATCTTCTTGTTTCAAGAGGCAAGGCAGGTAATAAGTTACAAGAAAAAGCATGCCGTGCAAAAGGCGGAATCGTTAAAGAGAAAGTAATTCCGAAAGATTTATTTCATTGTTCAATAAAACTGGTAAGTTTGCTCAACTTAAACTCTTGTCTCGATACATTGCAAACTCGTAACATGACTAGACTCGTGTGAAACTCGGATAACTATAACTTGCGGATTTCTACAATATATTTTATTGTTATTTCTCGTTCCAAGCTAAAATTGTGTTACTAGAGATCGGTCTGACATTTAAGCTGCTAATTAAGGAGTTTCACGACGAAAGAGCGAGGTAGTATTGCTAACGAAGGTAAAGTCTAACGAAGACAAGGTATCAGAAAACAAGTAGGTGTGCAGGTATTATTATTTAGCTCCCACTAAACTTTGTTACGGGCAATCGGTGTCAAAGATGATGTTCAATTAAACCTCAACCGTGACTATTATTCTCGACACCTATAGAGCGAAAATGAGTACGTACATGTAATTTATTACCTGCTGCAAACTAAATAGGTCTTCTATAATTTGATAGTTCGTATTTGGAAGAATCAATTTCTCTGGTAATGGCAGCAATAAACTTCGTAGACCGCGGTTTGTGTGTCGGCAGGTGCGGCGGCTGCGCGTGATTCGCTACGGGTTTCCTGCGCCTCGGGCTCTCGTGCCAATGTCATGCAGAACGATCACAAATGATGCTGTACTAGCTTTTACTATGAAAAGCTGTTTACAACCCACCCGAGTGCAAAGGGCAAGGCAGTCAGAACACAAATGCCGGTTTTTACCAATAAGTTTTTTGAACGAGAACCTTGTAACAACGTCAGGTCGTGGCCAAGTTTGTCAGTCAAAATTACCATTGTTACACAATAATGCATAAGATCATTAAAATATTCATACACAATTAGCATAGGAAATACGTAGTGTTTTATGTCTGTTAATAAGGTATGCAAGTGCATCGAACGCTGTTGACATTAACATTTTACGATTTATTAGGAACGTGTGTGAATTTGGTTAACTGTTTTAAAGCAGAATTCCCAAGAATCGTGGGTAGGCTTTGAGGTTAAACATACATTTTTACCCACATACTTAAAACAATACAAAAATATAAGTAAGTGTATTTGCCTGGATCCTCTGACATGTAGCCCTTGATTATTATGTGGAACGAAACACACTCGACGACTTTCTTGGCAACGACTTTGAATAGATTTGAACGACTTTTTAATGAGTTTAGCGTTTTACTAGCTTATCAACAATTCGGGTTATAACATTACTGGCTATTTTAGGCCGTAGAAAATACATAAATAAGTAATTATTGTGAACCACAAGAAATGAAAACATAATATAACATGTGTTTATACACATAAGACTGCTTGGCCTGTAGCGCTTTTTCAGCTAACAGGTGTGAAACAGGCGTGAAGCAGTAGGTAACCGTGCGACATACGCTTGAAGAAACATCTTTCTTTATTATTGGTTCTTTCTTTAATATGTAAAGTAGATTACGTTTAACTTATTTTTTAAATTTAATTTTCCATTTTATTTCCAACCCATTGTAATTTGTAAATCCATCATCATCCCACTCCCGCTCTCTGTTTAAGTTTAGGAAATTAGAAATCAATTAGAAAAATAAAATATTTTAGCTCGTTACCAAAGTTTAATTACACAACAACTTGTATCTAAATTACGATAAACAAAAACTTGACCTGGAGTAATTAAGTAAAGAAACGCAGTAATCAGCGATTTCCTATCACAATTATACAAAAACAAAGAAATATAAGGTTATGAAGTGGCGCTTCATGATTTTGAAATTACACAGATAATAAAATAAGGTAAGTAGAGTTTTAATTAGGTACATCTCTGTAATTTAAGGTTTAGCTTCAATCAGAATATTGAAAACAATATACAGATAATAAACCCGGCTTTCCATTAGCATTTCCATGGAAGTTTGTGATTTTGAGGAGTCAAAGTTGTGTTCGAGACTAATCTCATCCCTCTTTCCCACCACTGCAACTCAATACTCAATAAGTTTATTGCTTCCTTAATAGTTATCCTGTGTATCCAGGATCTGCAGTTACGCCTCCAATGAAACCCAACCAGTAAAGGTTAAGTAGTCCCGGGGGATAGCAGCCTAAGTTGTGTTGTAGAAAGATGCCAACACCATTCTTTAATTCGAATATGTTGTAAATGCCTGTATGCGTATAAGAGTCACAATACATGCAATCATTGTACGCAGCTGCTGCAGTCAATCCTCAAACTTGGGAATAACTACCTGTGGAATGTTCGCATCAAATGACAACAGCCAACAGGCTATCGTGATGATTGTATTCTATCCACCCCGTTTCTGTAACCCAACACGCGGTAATGCGGCCGGTTTACATTACGCGCACTATTGTGTGGCGAACCGTGCCAAACACTAGTTAGTAGGAATACTAAGGTAACCATGTTCACTTGTACCCAATTTGTAGCGGTAACGGTAACAAAAGTACTGTCCGGTGGCGCCTATTGATGACGTCATGGGCGTTTACAATAGCGACAAGATCTGATCAAAACTGTGTTTGTTGAATGGTTGCAATATAATTTATGGTTGCACAATAATGAATATAGAGAGATAGTAAACAATACGTTATGAGATTTCTCGAAAGATTAAGTCCCTAAAATATTGAAAGATGTTTGGAATTCATTGTCAATAACAGAGAAAAGTGCTATGGTATACTTAGTTATTATACCAAGAATACTGCATAAGACCAATTTACTCTCGTAACTTACGTTGTTTTTAAGCTTGTAAGATTTAAGAAAGAAGTGTAACTGATACTGATATATTAAATAACATGGTCATGGTCAAAAAAGCTACGTACAGTACGGTGATTGCTTGTTGATTAGATTAGAATTGTTTGCGATAAACTTACTTATTGCATTAGCATTGCAAAATTAAAGTGTCTTATTTATAGCCACATAAAATGCGTGTGTCAGCAGAAGATGAATGGATCTGTGAACTGCATTGTTTGCAAACTATATAGGATGTTCTTTAGTTGAACTTATAGTTAACTGCCTGAACCGTTCAGTAATTGTCTTACGGTCCACCAAGCACATGAAGCCCAGAGCTTCCAGACAATACCAAAAACTATGGCGTATTGTTAATGAAAGTAAAATATAGCTTCAGGAACCTGTTTTTAGATTTTAATTGGCTAATATGATGATGGTATCTAATTGGTTTCACAGATTTCATCTTAAACTTTCGACTTTTTTGCCTACTTTTATTTATACAAACGATTCGCGTAACGCATTACGATTAGATGGATATCTATTTAATTCCCGAGTGGAAGAAATATGGATTCGTAAGAAGAACTATCTGAGAAAAGTGTTGGATCTACATCTATTCATTAGGAAATTCGAAGTAGGTATAGGTAATCGGCTCAGTAATATTCCTTTGTTGTATGTCATAAAGTAAACGCACAATTACAGTTATGCGAACGTTTGCGGCATGCGAACGAAATGCCAAGGATCGTATGTAACTGGGAGAAGGCACTAAGTAACTGGTCAACCGATGTTTGCTCGGGTAATCCAGCGGACGTTGATGTTTACAGAAGCAACGTTATCATTAGAAAAATAATACGGCAATAAATGCAATTAATTTAATGCAGATAATGTGCACGTGGACCTTATAGCGATGGAAATTAAGTTTAATTTCGATTAACTCAGCTGCGTGATCGCGGCACTTTGATATCCTGTGTTTGTAAGCGCGAATTCTGCATTCTCTCTTTGTTGACATATGATAAAGAAGGATGTAAAGTATTGTTATTAGAATAAAACTACGTGTAAAGATGCTAGTATAAAAAGTGAGATTCTGTTTTATCAGCTACTCGTAAAAGACTTCAACGCACGAAGTTTCGGCGACGAAAATTTTCACTGCGATTTATGATTTGTGATCTCGTTTTCATCACACCTTGATTTAGAATTTGCTTTTTAATTAGGAGTGTATAATTTAATTACTGTCCATACTTATTTTTATAGCGCATTCTAGAGCGTATGCAGAAGATTAAATTATCATTGGCATTACCTAGTTTATAGCATGTAAGATGTAAGTAGGTAATCAAGTCTAAGGTGTATTTATTAACGATTTTAATTTAGTAACGACAAAATGCATCTAGAACAGGATTTTCTAATTTGAATATTAGATCTTTCCTTCTAGATTCTTACTTGGAATCTTGTTGGAACAATGGGTAGGTATTTAATTATTTTAGGATTATTTAAATGTTTTTAAAATTGTTCCTGTGTGGTTTCCATTATTTAAGTAATTACTACGATGTGGTTTTCTTAATTTAATTAACACTTAAGTTTTTTAATGAATTAAATTAATATTGCGTGTACTTTGACCAACAGCTAAAAATTACATTAGTTACCTGCCCTATTGCTAATTAATTAGAGTGTACCTAATTTAATGTATTTAGATAGGTATTTTCCAGCAATAATTTAAACGCGGCCAATTATTCTAAATAATAAAGCGGCGATAAGGCCCCGACCAACAACATAGAAACAGATTGTGACCAAACGCAGTGACCTTCGATCGGTAAAATGCAGCGGATCTCATCTCCGCATAAATCAGCTGCTTCTACAGGTAAATAAATTATAATTCAACGCGTACTCACCGTAAACAGTCGGCAGTATTGAAAATAAACGGATCACCTCCAATGTGGTCACAGAACAAAAATAAACAACACAAAACAGAACTGTCAGGTGATTGAAATGAAATGAAGTGGTGAACTAAAAATGTTTTGGGGATGGGTAAACACTTGTTCACGATGTATCGAGGTAAGTTCGCGGCAAGCACGGGCGCGTGCGTTCCGCGCAACGGTCTGGATTCGAATGCGCGTTAGCCGCCGTTCGCTCGCGCGGTCGCCGCCAGCCTCAAGGTGGAATCATCATTATGGGATCATGATCCTGGCATGAAAGGGAAATTTATGGCTAATCGGTCCCTTGCTACTGGGACGAGATCAGCTGTCCTAATATTGCCGTGAGCGGTAACATTTAAAGTCAATTTTATCCCTAAAGGAATAGAAATACAGTTTTTTAAATCCCAACTTTTTTCATAAATAAAATAAATTAATGAAGTAAGTCACGGATACAGACGACCATGAGTCTCTATCATGGTACGTTGTAAATAAATTACTCTTATCCAATCGGATTATAAAGTTTAATTAATTTACAAGTTTCATTTTTCTATTTGTTTAATTAATTTCGCCACGAAAGTAGGTCCAAATTCATTCATTCAGTGTTATTAGGTACGAGTATGCCCCGCGTGACCTAGATAAGCCACGCTTACATTAATGCGTTTTAATTTTTGTAAGAGCTCATTATTACGAGTGATGGTATTCAAAATTAAAATAGATCAAAAATATTATGGTCTCCTTTTTAATACTCGATTGGCATCAATTGCAGTTATTGGGTAAACAGGCTTTCTTTTTAGGTTACGAAGTATGTATAATGTATTTCGATTAAGCGTCTACGAGCCGGTGGAGCCAGACAGTCACATCCGCGGACGGAATGGCAAAGAAAATTGTTCACATTCGCGCTAATATGCATATAATCTGTGATCTGCGACGTCCGGCGGAGCCAATCTGGGACTTTTAACGCACTTCTAACAGCTCCTGTCACATCATTCTGTATCAAACTTATTTACACTTCCACACCATGCACGCCCGCTTGAAAGGGATAAAGGAAACCATTATTTTCTTGTTATAGCTCCCGCGCTTCGATGGAAAGTACCTATTTATCAATACCAGTTGTCCTCCGGCTTCTGCTTCAATGGGCATAAAATAAGTTGACAGGTTGACCGTGTTTAGCTTTTACCTTTTGCAGTTGAAATAGGATGTTGCGTTACTCCACAAAAATATGAGCATTTTCTTATAATGCGCTTAAAAAGTTTTTATTGAATTTTTGTGCCATTTAATTGTTTTGGCCTATAAAGTTAAGACCTTCGCCTCAAAGACGTGGGATGCATTCGGGAAACTGAGACCTACTTTAAAGTAGGCCACCATAAAATAAAAATTTCCCTAATGGGAAAATACAGAGAGGAAATTAGCTTTTCCCTGGATTATGCATTCAAGTTTAATTGTTAATGCAAATTACATTTAACGGTTTACCTCAATTTGTTAATGTTGCTTACTTTAAATGTCCGTAGCTAATTTGTTACTAGGAGTTTTAAAAGCCTGTTTTAATGATAGAACAGAGGCGTCAATTAATTTCAGTATAAGTTAGTTTTCGGATGCTTTCGGGTTGCCTAACTTATTCCCCACTTTTTAGAAGGACATTATAAAAAAATATAGAAGCTCCCAAGTCCCATGATAGCCGTGTGTCGTTGTCGTGAAATCATTTCCATGTTGCGGTAGCTACGTGATGGGAAAATGGCTGAAGCGTCAAGTGACTACACTCGTGTTTCCTTTTACCTCATTTCCACAAGACGCTAGTTATCAAGACTTGCACATACTCGGTAGATACGCATATTTTACACATAATATATGATTTTTAGATTCAACGCTTCAACGGCCGCGAGATGCCAATTAACTTTCTATTGTCTTGGTGTCTGCGTAGTAAATGACGTCTAAATAAAGATATTTAATACATATTTATGCTTACAATAGTCTGATGATCTTCTTCTTAGCCTCTTTAGATTGGTGGGAGACTCGTTATTTATGCCATCTCTAACATTTTTGCACGACTTGGATCTCATTGTTGTTGACATCGTCGCGTCAATACGTTGCCCTTCGTCACATTAGTTAGTCAATGATATGTATATGTACATTGTACATACAATGCCATAGAAGATAGGTTACTAATTCCCAAGAGTTGGATTGTTGGGTCACTTATAAAACTTTCACACGAATTACCCGCGAAACTTCGTCGTGGATAGAGCGAGGCATTGCACCCTTTAGATTCAGTCGAGTCGAGATGCTTTATATTAGAGCTTATACAACCTACATTATATTTTCTTCGTATACCAACGTCAAGCTTGACCTAATCACGCTCTAAAATGTACAGACAAGGGTATACGGTGTGATGTGTGACAGAATAAATAATGGGCTGAATAATATGAAAAAACCAATACAAAAAGTTTTGTTTATGTTTACGCTATTTTTCTTTTGCCGAAATCAATCTGCGTTAAGGTCATAACAGTTCTTAACCATCTTAAAAACTGAGTTTTTTAAAAGATGGTAAATGCTTATCTGCGTTTGTATGAGCTTTGTTTAGCTTTGTTCGCAATCACACTTTTATTCCCAAAAGGCATTGGATGATCGTAGATTCGAAATTGATTCTGTATAATTGTAGACTAATCAAAAAGTGTTTTATATTCCGCTGAAGCTTTCGGCGTTGCCAATCAGCCTTTTTATATCCCTAGGGCCTACAGCTTAGATTTTCAAAAAAGCTCGTAAATATCCCACTGAAAGTTTCCTGTAATTTTTCAGTCGTACGAGTGTTTTAATTGGCATCGGCTGGCTGTCGTTAACGAGATTCATTACCGGGTTCATACTCACCTCGGGCTCATCATTACATTCAGCTCGGATTTCGGCCATTTTACCTATAGGCAACGTTACGGCGTAATTCACAATTTTGTTACATAACCAAACCATACAGAATTACTAAGTGGCTTAGCAGTTGTGTGGGGTTTTCAGGTCATCGCTAACAAACCTAAAAAAGGTAACCTTAACTGATGTTTTCAGTAAAAGCTATGTTTAAATTGATTTTTCAACTAATAACGAATTATCCTTCCCCTTCATATTTTTTTAAGTAACTGTCCTCACCATAGGTTGTCTGGAAGAGATCGCTTCATAGCGATAAGACCGCCTAGTTGTACCTTGTGTGTTCCTTTTCTTTCTGTTCTTATCTTTGGTGTGCAATAAAGTGTATTTATTATTATTATCCTAGTTTTATATGTTTAGAATAATTTGTACGTCAGTCAGATGTAGGTTAAAGTTATTCGTGAACACAATTTACTGAATTCCGCTTGCATTGTACGAAAGTTCAGAGTTTCATATTCACATCCTGGATTTGTGTTGAGACATTTTCTCTAAATTTATCACATCCTGGCTTCTTTGTTGCGTAACACACGTGCTATTGCTACCGAAAATAACTTTCAACAAAAACTGTTTTGTAATGTTTGTCTCGTGTTTTATACCTGCATCTCATGGCCATGTCTCATTTCAGTGTCAGAATATACTGAGAGTGTCTAAAACATGTTTCAATAAATGCCTAGGTTAAAAGCAATAAAAGTCAAAAAGTTTATTTCATTTAAAATATTTAAAAATGTCGATGCACCAAAACGTCTAAAACACTTTCATAGATCTATCCAATGCTATGAATCATGATAATAAGAAGTCAAGTATGTTGTTTTATACTTTTCGACATGGCTGGCAGTTGATCAGGCAAAGTATGCATTTGAGTCTATTTCGCGACTAGTTACTTTCGACTCATTATGCGACAGGCCGCTCGCTGTCATTATTTGCATGTATTGATATTGATAGTTACTTAATAGGGCGCCATCCTTTCTAATTTGCTATCTGTCTCCTATCTAGCCCGGCACTAATAGATACCAACTCGCCACAATGAACGTTCATTACTCAAATCTAAAGGACGTCTGCATTTGGAGCTATAAAAATTCGTTTACGCTGAATTTAGCAATCTCGTGCATTATTCGAAATGACTCTCATAAAACGAGACTTTCATTGAACATCTTCGCTACGCAAAATGGCAAATGCAATTGAAATACGTAATAACCGCATTACTGGTCTGATACAATAATTTGGTTGTATAGAAAGCCGCGTTTCTCCGTAATCCAACGAGAGCGCCGACAGATGTCACGATTCCACTTTCTTCCATCACGCATTATATTTAAGTATTTGCAAAGTGAACTGGCTATTTTATTTTGTCAAAATTAACTTACATAATATCTGAAAATGCAATAACATTTTCACACTTCATGTAACATCATGTGGACCGTAGCCAATCTGTTGTAAGACCAAGTAAGACTTTAAGTGATGCCATAGTCTAGTAAAGTACGCTAGTGAGCTTTCAATATGCTTATCAAACCATCACTTTGTATGACACTGTTTTATAATTAAATCAAGTTACTGAAAACTGTTGAGAATCTAAAACTGATATAAATTGTCCTAGAACTCTAGAAACACGTGCAATAATGTAATGAATTCGAACAATTAACTTTGAAAAATTGTCTGTCCTGAACTGTCCATTTTCATGAACGTCCAGTTTTCGGTTTCAGCAGGGTTTCATTTAAAATTTCGTTTAAAAAGCACATTCCATTCGATTGCAGTAAGCATCTATTACGTATTCATTAACAAATGTGAATTATTTGCATAATTATTACAGAAGCATTTTGATATTAGTTAATTAACTTTTCACCATGCATAATTGATAGCCGGTGTGTCTTTGTAAGTACACACGGTGTCAAAAATAGCTCCTTTTGTATTTGTTTCGTTTGGTTAATTAAGGCTAAGTGTCATGTGAAGTAACGCTTATGTAACACGTTGTAACAAACAACAGCTTTATGAAGCAACGTGAGAGAATTTTCAATAAAATACATAAGTGTGTACTGTGTACCTACTAAACTACATATGAAACTCTGGATAATGTATGCCATGTTTATTTTATGTCCGATGTAAGTGTTTTTATCAGAATGATGGAGTTTTCAGATGACCATGGATATCTTATCTACTAACTTTGCGTATGAAATGGTTGCTGTTTGCGATTAAAACCGTACAATCACTAACAAAATGTTTATTAATTACTAGCGGCCGCCCGCGACTTCGTACGCGTGAATCCCGTTTTTCCCGCTAATTCA